TACTAATTACTATAGTTACAATGTTTAGGACTGAGTGTCAAGATACTACAAGTAAACTCTATCTCTGTTGGTCAAGTTGGAACATTCTCGGATTTCTACACTGTTAATAAATCCGAACGAGAAAATTTACAGTTCATGCACTAAATTTCTTTTCCATTTTAACCCATTTTATAATTGTACAAGCTACACTACTATGCCTTCAAATAAATCGAAATGAAACGAATTGGACTTAGAGGGGCTTTTTTGGTGCTTTTCTTCTCGGAGTGTTAGCAACTTCTAGTCTTGATGTCGGCGTTTCATTACTCAGTGAACTAATCTAATACATTTAGTAAGAGTTATTGTAAAATTGTCATTACTTTTAAGTCGTGAGGCCTAACATCCAATACCACTTGAAAATCCACTTAAACTGGTTACTAAATTTGGAATGAGATGACGCAATTAAATTCAGTATTTTGTTGTGGTAGTTTCATTGATGACGTGGATTTGGCATATCAGTGTTTACTGATTTCCAATATAATCCCATTTCATTCACACCGATTTGAAATGATCTACTCGGCCTTCACGGCCTTGTCAAAACCAATTTCGTTCGCCACCACCTTAGCATTAAATGATTCTTTCCCTGACCTAACTCTTGGATTTAATGGGCGTTTGGAATTTCATTTTTAAATTTTACGAGGGTTGAGTGAAGGAGTAAGTGAAGAATTCCAACCACTAAATAATTACACAAGCTGTTTAAAATTGGTAACAGTCAAATCTTAATCTAATAAAAATAAATTATAGTTCTCTCAAGTGATCTAAACCACATGAAAGACATGTCCATAATACTCCAAGGAGAGTCTCCTCCAATTATACCATCTCTCTTGTTGACCAAAATAAAACTGAAAGCTTTATCACTTTCACCACTGGACGGACACTGATTTGTCGGACGTGCAGACATACACGCATGCACACACGAACACGTTGACCACTTTGTCTCCGACACAAGATTCCTCGGAATTTCATTTTAAATGATATACATTCTTTGTCTATTTCGTCATTCACATTATGTCCTTAAGAATTAAATCAGCGGAATATTCAAAACAATTGTCCCTTGTGTTGCGGTCCAACTAATCTCACATTTTATTTGATTTATTATTTCAAATTACACAACAGGTCGTCATTATGAAATTGATCAACTTCAATTTCCACAATTTCGGCAAAGTGGAAATTAATTGACTGCAAATTCCAAAATGTCGACATTTTACCCTTTGGTGGTGGTGTGAACTACCTTCTGTGTTTTTTATTCTTGTGAGGTATTTGAACACTCAAAATGGCGAAGTAGTTCATTGAGTGCGAAAAGAGAGAATCCAGTGTAATTAGGACGTCCATGTTCTTACCCCCGTTCCTCTTCTACAATTAATAATTAATTTATTTATAATTCGTAATTAATATTTTTTCATAATTATTAATTTTGCTCAATTGTTATTTGTCTAGGTGACCCTGTGCGTAATGGCGTCGGGTGACTTAGAGTTTGTGAAATTGATAGCAAAAGGTCGTTTTTCGAAGATATATGAGGCGAGGAGGGTGGATAGTGGTGGAGTCGGTAGGAAACACGCCGTGAAGCTGTTTACCAGGTTTGATCCAAATAGGCTTGAGCATATTCATCGTGAAGAGTACATGTTGAGACGCATCGCCACAGCAACCAAGCAGTCACCCTTCGTTATCACCTACTTCGAGTCCATTGAATTGCGAGGTTACCCCGCTTTCCTGTTGAGTAGTGGTTGTGGAAAGGACCTCTTTGATCTCGCAGACAAATATGGTGGAATGTCAGAAGAACAGGCCAAATTCTATGCTTGTGAGCTCATCTGTGGCTTGGAGCATCTCCACTCACTGGATATTGTGCACTGTGATATCAAACCGACGAATGTACTACTCTACCACACCGGCCATAACATGATCGCCGACTTCGATCTTGCCATGGACCAATCAGAGCGTGGTGATCCTAACTACAGAAACTATGCTGGTGGAACGCCGGGCTATGTAGCTCCTGAGATTTTGAGGAGAATCACTTGCACCAAGAAATCGGATGTGTGGAGTATGGCTGCTG